GGCCAGCTCTTTAAATATTCTCAGTTTTATGCCTTGGAGGATATAGTGTAACCCCTAATGCATTCCTTGAACGCACATCTCAATGGCGGAGGTTTTAGAAAGCAGATCTTTGTAATCCAGACTTAACGAACGCCATCTATTGATGTAGTTGACGACAGGTTCATCCTTCCACTGTTTTGTACTAGTCAACTCTAGCATGCTTATGGTGCGGCGAATGCTGTAGAAGTGGTTAAGGAACTCATTTTCTAGCTGATCCTAATTGTTGATAGATTCGGGCTCGAGGTCAGTGTACCAGTCAAATGCGTTACCTTTCAGCGAGCGCACGAACTGCTTGACGAAGTAGTCTCCATCCGTTCCAGCATTGTTGTAGGTTTCAATGAAATGTGTGACATGTTGCTTTGGGTTTCCTTTTCCATCGAATTGCATGAATTTTAGCGGCTGATAACCCCTTAACATCTTCAAAGCATCAATCTTCTTGGAGTAAAGCTTTGAGTATAGTACAGAGTCATGTGAGCTTCCTTCGTACTGCGCCTTGATAGTGCTGGCGATCATCTCCGACAACTGCTGGATAGAAAAATCCCATGAGTGCCGCTGCTTGGTCTAGCTTCATCTTCATATCGACTTTCTCTACTGGAGGCTCATCTTCTTCACCGGCTCCTCTCTTTAGGGGATTGACCTTTGGGTTGGGTTTCTCGTCATCATGTGCCTCCAATCGATTGACGAGTGCAGCGATTTGCAAGACTTTTTCTTCCACAGTCCATGTTAGCCTTGCGATCGCTTCATTCATTTGAGCTAGTTGCTCATCGATTAAAGTCGCTTCGGTGGTCATGACTTGCATTGCTGAACTGCCGCTTAAGTAGGCATCGAAAACATGGAACCAAAGTACTTCCTTGGGCTTTCCTCCTTTGGTGCCCTTAGCGAGGCCAGGGTGATCACAGGCTTATGCCTCGGGTGTTCTTGCTCCTTTGGCAAAGTTGATGCAGAGGTGGAAGAAGCGGCAGAAAAAACTATTGCCTTGCTTTGAGTTATGATGCTCGAAGTGACACCACTTGCGGCGATGACGCTCTTGTTTTTCGCGTTGGTTGCGGGAACCACTTGAACCTTCCTTGATGCCATTTGATTTTCAAATGTGTGCTTTGATTTCCTTGAACGGAGAAAGAGATGAGAGATAGAGATGGTCCCACCGGGCGTGCCGAATTTGTAAACACGAAAATTCCTGTGATGAATAAGATAAGAACACGTGTACAAAATAATATTTGTATTAATGATTTTGTGGTTACAATCTCTTCTACAAATTTAGCATCTGATTCGATCTTCGTAAAGTGTTGATTTGTGGATAGGCTGTTGATCCAAAGGGCTGTCGGGGCTTGATCTTTAGGATGAATATTGGTGTACAGATGGTTTCTTCAAGGGCCGTTAGGTTTGATCTTGACGAACGGATGAACGGATCTTTAAGGGCTTTTGGGCTTGATCTTGAAGAACGGATGTGTGGATTTGTTGATGTTGTTTATCCAAAGGGTTGTTGGGGCTTGATCTTAGGATGAACAGATGATGAACGATGAATACTTTGTTCAAGGGCCGTCACGGCTTGATCTTGAATTGGTGGACGTTCTTCAAGGGTCGTTGGGGCTTGATCTTGAATGAGGATTTGACGAAGAACGGATGGAGCTTTCTTAATCCTTTGGGATTTGCTTGGGAGCTTTAGAGTTTCAAATCTTCAAGGTTTTGGTGTGATGTGAATTGGTGATGAATTGGTGTCCTAAAATGAATGAAATGACCTTGTATTTATAGAGTTTTTCAAGGCCTAATTTTGAATATAATATTCAGATGAAATAAATCATTTCTGCCAGGTGTTGACACGTGTCCTTATTTGATACTTTTCCAATTTATTTTGATTTTTCATTTAGTCACACGCTACGTGAAAAATTTATGTGACACGTGTTCGAAAATTGTAATTATTGGTCAACATTTATTTCACCGAATTTTCGATGTCTACAACCACATTTGTCCAGATTGTTTCAGCCCATACAATGATCGCCTTAATTTGATTAAGAGTATACCTCGTGGTTTGTTAGTTGTTTCAGGCAACTTAAGTTCTTCTAGGACTTTCATATATATAGATATATATATATATATATATATATATATATATATATATATATATATATATATCAGTATCTAATTCTCTATATAGATACGCGGTGATGACATCCATAACTCGGATGTCAAGTTTTTCTGAAACCACTAAACTTATTAAGTAATGGAACGTAGTTGCGTCCATTATAGGAGAGTATGTCTCATCATAATCAATTTCAGGTCTTTGCAAAAAGCCTTGTGCAACAAGTCGTGCTTTATATTTTTCAATCTCATTTTTTTCATTGCGTTTCCTTGTGAATACCCATTTGTACTCCACAGGGTTTACACCAGGCGGGGTTTAGACTACTGGTCCGAAAACATTTCGCCTTTCTAAGGAATTTAATTCTGCCTGGATTGCATCTTTCCACTTAGGCCAATCTTGTCTCTGTTTGCATTCATCAACAGAGCGGGCCTCAAGATCATCACTTAATAGTGGCTACTGCGAATGTGAATATGTCGTTGATGATTATTTCATTCTGATCCCACAAGTCATTAGTACAAGCATAATTTATAGAGATTTCTTTGCTTTCATATACCTTTGTTTCTTCAGGTACATGTCTCATCAAGGACATTTTCTTTTTCTAAAAGTACAGAATTATGAATTGTGGATTTGTCATTTATTTTCTCTTCTTGAATGATTTCATTTGGATTCAGTTGTGCCCTCGTCTTTTCCTTTCGAGGGGCTGAATCTTTTGAACCTGGGGGTCTACCACGCTTCAGGTGTGCACCAGATGAATCATTCGCTGTCACTTTATTTTGTCTAACAGGGACATCAATTCTTGCAGGTGCATTTGCAGCTGGTATATGTGATTTTGTCACTTTTATGTCATCATTATATGCATCTAGCATTTGATTGGCAATACTTTGAAGATGAACGATCATTTTTACTTCATTTTCACATTAAATGCTTTGAGGATCAAAATGAGATAAGGTGGGAACAACCTATGTCAGCTTTTGCCGTTCTTCTGGAACGGTCTTTTCTCCCCCTAACGATGGGAAGACTATCTCATCAAAGTGACAATAAGCAAAACGAGATGTAAACATATCATCTGTCAAGGGTTCCAAATAGCTAATTATAGATGGTGAAACAAAATCCACATAAATTTCGAGTCTACGCTGAGGTCCCATTTTAGTGCGTTGTGGTGGTGCAATAGGCAAATAAATAGTACAACAAAAAACTCGCAAATGTGAAATGTTTGGCTGATGCTCAAACACGAGTTGCGATGAGGAGTATTGGTGGTTGGCTATAGGTCTCAATCAAAACAATGATGCAGCATGTAACATGGCATGTCCCCATGCATAAACTGGCAATTTTGTTTTCATGAGCAAAATGCGAGCTATTAACTAAAGCCGCTTGATCAATGCTTCTACTAAACCATTTTGAGTATGGACATGAGGAACATGATGTTCAATATCAATGCCCAATGTCATGCAGTAATCATCAAAGGTTTGAGACGTAAATTCACCATCGTTATCAAGTCGGACTGACTTAATGGGGTAATCTGAGAACTATGCTTGCAACTTAATTATCTGAGCAAGAAGTCTCACAAAAGTTACATTCTTATTAGACAAGAGACAAACATGTGACCATCGGGTAGATGCATCAATCAAAACCATAAAATATTGGAATGGTCCACAAGATGGTTGAATAGGCCCACAAATATCCCCTTAAATTCTTTGCAGAAATGCTAGGGATTCAACATCAACTTTTAGTTGTGATTGTCTAATTACCAACTTCCCTTAATAACAAGCCTTGCAAGAGTTATTAATTGAGATATCAATGTGTTTGCTCAATAATGGATGTTCATTAGAATTGGTAATGATTTTACGCATCATGATAGATCCTAGGTGACTCAGACGGTCATGTCAAAGCATGTAAACTTTTGAATCATGACAGTATGTGATTAAACTGTCTTTATGTATGTATAATACAATCCACTCGTCAAACCATGCAACTTCTCTAAGATACGCTTCAAGGTATCATTGGAGGTAATGCATAGATACTCCACATTTTCTGCACTTTTTGTTTCAATGTGGTATACATTTAAACGTATCTTTAAAACTCAACAAATTTCGAGTAGATCAAGTAGCGTACAACGCATTATGTATGGACAATATTGTTCTATTTGGTAACATAATCTGGGCTTTCCTTGAGCCTTCAATTACATCTGATTGGCCTGATATTGTTGTTACCCTTACTTTTGTAAGCATCAATCTTGAGAAATAATTTCGATCTCGAAGTATTGTATGTTCAGTACATCAAACATAAATGATTCAGTCGGACTGGTATACTTCATTCCCCATTTCCACAATGAAGTTTAAGACATCTAGGTAGGTTATGTTCAACTGCCCTGATAAGTCGCACACTGGATCAGGTATATCCATTGGTTTAACTTGGTCGAGAAAATTGATCTCGTCACCCTTCTCCTTGATGGAGACTTGATATAGATCCACCAGATGTTTTGGGGTACGACAAGTACGTGCCCAATTACCATTGCCACCCATCTATAGTAGGCTCCTTCAGAGTTTCTGGGAGCATTATTCATATAAGCTTTACCTTTGTGGCGATTCACATTTTTGAAGCTCAGGCCTAAATTATGCCTTGGAACCTAGTTGTGAAACAAGATACCATGATTATTGTCTTTCCCATTCCACCATCCTCGTCTGTGGCCACGTCCTTATTTATGATTATGGCCACCAGAGAATGTGACGTTCTCTTCGAGAGAAATAGCATTCACTTCTAGGAATGGTGTAGATCTAGTAGGTTGGGACTGATGATTTTTCGGCAGGAGCTCATTGTTTTGTTCAGCAACTAGGAACACAGATATCAGCTAGTTGTATTAAGTGAAACCTCGCTCTCTATACTACTGTTGCAAAGGCAAGTTTGAGGCATGAAAAGTGGTGAAAGTCTTTTCTAGCATATCTTCCTCGGTGATGGTCTCCCCACAGAGTTTCATCTGGGAGCTAATTTTGAACATCGCAGAATTGTACTCAGCCACTGACTTGAAATCCTGGATCCTTAGGTGAATCCACTCATAAAGAGCTCTGGGAAGAATCATTGTTTTCTGGTGATTGTATCTGTTTCTCAATGTCTTCCAGAGAGCTAACAGATCTTCAACCGTTAGGTACTCACTTTTTAGTCCTTCATCAAGGTGACAACGGATAAAGATCATGACCTTCGCCTGATCTTGAGAAGATGCAATGTTCTCCTCCTTGATTGTTTCTCCAAGATTCCCTGCCCCTAAATAGATATTGACATCCACTACCCAGGTAAGGTAGTTTTTCCCAGTAATGTCCAGGACAACAAAATCAAGGTTTGTCAAGTTCGTCATTTTGTTTTCTAAAAGAAAACTGAAATGTGTAAAAACTTGCAATAATATGTATTCTGGAGGTATGCAGTGTTAGAACTTATGGTTCTTACAAATTTTTCATTTTGATCTTCAGGCCAAAATGATAAGCACTCGAAATTTCAAGCTCGAGATTTTCAAGATGAATGAGGAGGGCGAGTATACCGCATCATTCTCATAACATACGATGGGCAATTATTCCGCACCACTCAAGTAGCATGAAAATTTAAATACGCAGAGCAAGGTGGGCGATTATACCGCACCACGTAAAATTGCAATAAAATTAAACAACAGACAAATTTAAATATGCAGGATAGGGTAGGTGATTATACCGCTCCACTTAAAATTTGCAGTAAAATTAGATATGCAGTCCAAGATAGGCGATGATACCGCACCATCTTGGATTGCAATAAGATTAAATTTGTAGCTCAAGATGAGCGATTATACCGCACCATCTTGGATTGCAGTAAAATTAACATAAATAAACACTGGGTTAGTAGTCAGGAGCTACACCAAACAAGAAATCAAATATATAAGTAATTGTTATGTTGAGAACTAGAAGCAGGCATGGTGCAAACAGTTCTTCGCGAGGGTATATCCAGCAGTTGAAGCAGAGGAAGAATAAGAACAGTAAAATCCTTAGAGGAAACTCTTTTTTTTCTTTCGGCGAAGAGAAATAAGAGAATGATTAGAGAGTCGTGCTGATAACGTGTTATAAATATGTAAAAGTTAGAGAGATAACCTTTATTAATGATAAGAGCGAAGCAAATGTAAAATATCACACTGTAACTATAACACAAGAGGATGACAAATAAAAGAGGGGAGGGATAGATAATGATGTTATTGATCTTTCTTGTTCTTTCTGCATATCTTGATAGTAGTCTAAGCGCTCTATTTATATAGCAACTCCAAACAAACATATTATTACATTTTGAAATTTACAGTACACACCTTTTGAAAATACGATATCCTGCATTTCCAAAGTCCACAGAGATTTTCAATACCCACACAGTAATATAGACTTTGGAAATGAAGGAGACTGTGTTTTCAAAAGGTGTGCTGTAAATTTCAAAATGTAATAAGACGTTTGTTTGGAGTTGCTCTATAAATAGAGCGCTCCCACTACTATCAAGATATGCAGAAAGATCAATAACATCATTATCTATCCATCCATCTTTTATTTGTCATCCCCTTGTGTATAGTTACAATATGATATTTAACATCTGTTTCACTACTGTTACTAGTAAAGATTATATCTCTAACTGTTACATATTTATAATACGTTATCGGCACGACTTTCTAATCGTTCTCTTATTTCTCTTCACCGAAAGAACAAAAAAATGTTTCCTTTAAGGATTTTACTGTTCTTATTCTTCATCTGCCTCAACTGCTGGATATACCCTCGCAAATAACTGTTTGCACCATGTCTGCTTCTAGTTCTCAACCTAACAGTTACTTATATTTTTTATTTCTTGTTTGGTGTAGCTCCTGACTACTAACCCAGTGTTTATTTATGTTAATTTTATTGCAATCCAAGATGGTGCGGTACAATCGCCCATCTTGAACTACAAATTTAATCTTATTACAATCCAAGATGGTGCGGTATCATCGCCTATTTTGGATTGTAGATCTAATTTTATTGCAAATTTTAGGTGGAGCGGTATAATCGTCCACCCTACCCTACATATTTAAATTTGTCTGATGTTTAATTTTATTGCAATTTTAGGTGGTGCGGTATAATCGCCCACCTTGCTCTGCGTATTTAAATTTTCTTGCTACTTAAGTAGTGCGGAATAATCGCCCATCCTATGTTATGAGAATGGTGCTGTATAATCGTCCTCCTCATTCATCTTGAAAATCTCGAGCCTGAAGTTTCAAGTGCTTATCATTTTGGCCTAAAGATCAAAATGAAAAATTTGTAAGAACCATAAGTTCTAACATTACATACCTCCAGAATACATATTATTGCAAGTTCTTACACATCTCAGTTTTCTTTCAGAAAAGAAAATAGCGAACTTGGCGGCAAAGCTTGATTTTGTTTTCCTGGACATTACTGGAAAAACTACATTACCTGAGTAATGGATGCCAATAACTAATTGGAGGCCAAGAATCTTGGAGAAACAATCAAGGAGAAAGACAATGCATCTTCTCAAGATCGGGCGAATGACATGATCTTTATCCGTCACCACCTTGATGAAGGACTAAAGAGCGAGTACTAACAGTTGAAGATCCGTCAGCTCTCTAGAATGCATTGAAAAACAAATACAATCACCAGAAAACAATTATTCTTCCAAGAGTTCGTTATGAGTGGACTCACCTAAGAATCCAAAATTTCAAGTCAATGGCTGAGTACAATTCTGCGATGTTCAGAATTGGCTCCCAGATAAAACTTTGTGGGGAAACCATCACTGAGGAAGATATGCTGAAAAAGACTTTCAGCACCTTCCATGCCTCAAACGTGCTCCTGCAGCAGCAGTATAGAGAGCGGGGTTTTAGTGAATACAACCAACTGATATCTGTGCTCCTGGTTGCTGAATAAAACAATAAGCTTGTGCTGAAAAATCATCAGTCCCGACCTACTGGATCTGCACCATTCCCAAAAGTGAACGCTACTTCCCTCGAAATGAACACCACATCCTCTGGTGGCAATAATCATAAACGATGACGCGGCCACAAGTGAGGACGGTGGAACAGGAAAGGCAAGAATCATGGTGTCCAGTTTCACAACCAGGTTACAAGGCATAATTAAAGCCCGAGCTTCAAAAATGTGAATCGTCACAAAAACAAAGCTCATATAAACAATGCTCTCAGAAATTCTGAAGGAGCCTGCCATATGTGTGGTGGCAATGGGCACTGGGCGCGTACTTCTTGTAACCCAAAACATCCGGTGGATCTATATCAAGCCTCCATTAAAGAGACAAATGTCGAGACCAATTTTCTCGATCAAGCTAAACCAATGGATATACCTGATCCAGTGTGTGACTTATTAGGGCAGTTGAACACAACCCACCTAGATGTCTCAGACTTCATTGTGGAAAGGGGGAATGAAGTATACCGGTCCAACTGAATTATTTATGTTTGATGTACTAAACTTGTAATTTAAAACTAACATTTCAAATTCAATAAAAGTGGCATTTAAATTTCCTGTTATAAATTGCTTTTAACCATGATTCCCTTTACTCAGAGAGCATAGATAAAAACTATGGTCATTCTCAAAACATGAGAAATGGCGAATATATTTGTCTTGCAAACAACGCAACCACGCATATAATACTTCAATATTGAAAGTATTTCTCAATATTGATGCTTACAAAAGTAAGAGTAACAACAATATCAAACTAATCAGATGCAATTGAAGGCTCAGGGAAAGCTCAGATTATGTTATCAAATGGAACAATATTGTCCATACATAATGCGTTGTACGCCACTCGATCTACTCGAAATTTGTTGAGTTTTAAAGACATACGTTTAAATGAATACCACATTGAAACAAAAAGTGTAGAAAATGTGGAGTATCTATGCATTACCTTCAATGATACCCAAAAGCGTATTTTAGAGAAGTTGCATGGTTTGACGAGTGGATTGTATTATACATACATAAAGACAGTTGAATCACATACTGTTATGAACCAGAAGTTCATTGATTCAAAAGTTTACATGTTTTGGCATGACCGTTTGAATCACCCAGGATCTACCATGATGCGTAGAATCATTACCAACTCTAATGGACATCCATTATTGAGCAGACACATTGCTATCTCAAATGATAACCCTTGCAAAGTTGTTCTTAAAGGAAGTTGGTAATTAGACCATCACAACTAAAGATTGATGCTGAATCCCCATCATTTCTGCGAAGAATTCAAGAGGATATTTGTGGGCCTATTCAACCATCATGTGGACCATTCTAATATTTTATGGTTTTGGTTGATACATATATCCGATGGTCACATGTTTGTCTCTGGTATACTCGGAATGTAGCTTTTGCGAGACTTCTTACTCAGATAATTAAGTTGCGAGCACAGTTCCCAGATTATCTCATTAAGTCAATCCAACATGATAATGCTGGTCAATTTACATCTCAAACCTTTGATAATTACTGCATGACATTGAGCATTGATGTTAAATACCATGTTCTTCATGTCCATATTCAAAATGGTTTAGCAGAAGCATTGGACATTGCAAGATATAAAGCACGACTCGTTGCACAAGGCTTTTCGCAAAGACCTGAAATTGATTATGAAGAGACATACTCTCCTGTAATGGACGCAATTACGTCTGTTACTTAATAAGTTTCAGAAAAACTTGATATGCGACTTCTGGATGTCATCACTGCGTATCTATATAGAGAATTAGATACTGACATATATATGAAAGACCCAGAAGGACTTAAGTTACTTGAAACAACTAACAAACCACGAGGTATGCTCTCAATCAAATTAAGGCGATCATTGTATAGGCTAAAACAAACTGGATGAATGTGGCATAATCGTCTTAGTGAGTATTTGATCAAAGAAGGGTATACCAACAATGTCATTTGCTATTGTATGTTCATTAAGAAATCCAACTCTGGATTTGTTATAGTGGCAGTATATGTTGATGATATGAACCTAGTTAGAACCTCTGAAGAACTCAATAAAACTGCTGAATATCTGAAAAACGAATTTGAAATGAAAGACCTTGGAAAAACAAAATATTGTCTCGGCTTGCAGATTGAGCATTGTGCTAGTGGAATTTTGGTCCACCAATCAGTTTACATTGAAAAAATCCTTAAGCGATTTAGCAGAGACAATGATTATCCACTAAGCACGCCAATGGTCGTTCTTTCTTTGGACGTTAAGAAATATCCATTCCGTCCAAAAGAAGATGATGAACTGGTCCTTGGTCCAAAAGTACCATATATGAGTGCAATAGGTGCTTTATTGTATTAGCATAATGTACTAGACCAGATATAGTTTTTTCAGTCAACTTGTAAGCAAGGTATAGCT